GTCCTGAAGGGATCATCTGCCCTGGATTCCCTGCGTTTCCAGTTCCTATCTGTAGCAGTGTACATCCTCTGTTTGTTATTTTCTTATTGAGTTTTTATAGAGTTCTATGATTTTGGTACTTAGACCCTCATCCTATCTGTCATTGATAAAAACATTTTCCCAATCTGTGGGCTTTCATTTTACTCTTTTGATGTGCATAAGTGATGTAATGTCAGTATGTCCCAGTCATCTATTTTGCCTTCCACTGTATGTGCTTCCATTATTATACTTGGTAGTCCATGTATGCCCTGCAATAGGGCCCTTAAGTTTGTTCCAATTTTCTCATTGATGATCCTGATAGCTGTGGGATTTACTTTTAGGTCTTTAATCCATCTTGAGTTTATTTTTGTGCATGGCGAGAGATGCAGGTCTTGTTTCATTCTTCTGCATATGGAAATCCAGCACCTACCCTGGACAGGGTCATCACTAGTCCTCCACCTTGCTTGGCCCCACAGCCTCCCACAAGCTTATTTCCCTTGTCCCTTGTCATGACTTAGGTGAGCCCCAGACCACCAGAGGTGTTTTCTGAGAGTTTGTTCAAAGTCATAGCAAATGTGAACTGTCAGTTGAGATAGTCAATAAGTAGTAGGCATATCCTTAAATCGATAACCTACTCTGCTACCAACACTTCATCTTTTTAGATAAATTGTTGTTATTTTTAGGTGCCTGCTCAGTCCGACACCATCCTCACAATTGTTGTTATGTATGAGCCCATTTCTGCAGCCATTGACAATCCATCTCGTCAAGGATCTTCCTCTTTTTTCTGCGACTCTCTACTCTACCGCTCCTGACGTCCTTTTCTAGGGACTAGTCTCTCGTGATGATGTGTCCAAAGTAAGTGAGACACAGTCCTGCCATCCTCGCTTCTAAGAAACGGTCCACTGTACTTCTTCCAAGACAGTTTTGTTTGTCCTGATGCTAATCCACGATATTTTCAATATTCTTTGACAGCATCAGTTCGTCTGTTATCTTCTTTATTCATTGTCCAACTTTCATATGCGTGTGAGGCAATTGAAAATATCATGGCTTGGGTCAATTGCACCCTAGTCTTCAAAGTGACATTCTTACCCTTAAATACTTTGTTTTAGGAAATGTTTCTTAAAATATAGTTACATATTTCAAATATACATATACACACATATGTGCATTTGTATAGTATATATTTGCATTTTATTTTATCTTGCCTTTTAAAATACCCTCATATATGAGTGTATACATTTTAAATACATATTTCACACTACACACACATATATATACGTATTATGTAAGACATATATTTAAACTGTGTATTTACCAATAAGGAACCCTGGTGGCTTAGTGGTTACTCATTGGGCTGCTAACCACAAGGTCACAGTTCAAAACCACCATCTACTCCTCAGGAGAAAGATAAGGCTTTCAATTTGTGTAAAGTGTTACAGTGGTGGAAACCCACAGGGGTACTCTTAACCATCCTGTAGGGTGCTTATGATTTGGCATCAACTAAATTGCCATGTGTCCGGTTTGATTTGATATCTTTAAAACAATGAGACTTTCTACTCCCATCAAGATTTACTCCAAGAAAGATTTACCTACAGGGGCATTTCTACTCGGTCCTTTAGGGCTGCTATGAGCCAGAATTGACTCAATGGCATCCAGTGCGAGTTTGGACTTACTCTCTTAATTCTTTGTTGCTGGACATTAGGACCTTTAAATAGGATTTTCATTGACAAATATCATTGCAATTAATAACTTTGTACATGAAAATATATACACATCTCTCATTCTTTTCTTACCATATACTTATAGAAAGGGGATTCCCAGGACCATGATATTCACGAGTTAAAAACTTGGTACTTACTGCCAAATTAACTTCCAACAAGTCTATAGCCATGTGTATTCAGCAGGGCCGACAAGATAAATAAGCCAGGGACATTCCTATATGTATAAGAAAGAGGTTTACTCACCAGCTTATGAGATCCAAGGATGATAAATAATAAAATCCAAGTCTGAAGGAGAGAATGGTACCAGAGCTTAAATTCTGAACAGCAATTTACAATTTATGGATGACAGTGATCTCCCCAAATGTATTTATAGGATCCCTACATAGATTAAGCCTCTGGCGGATTCTTCTGACCACATTTGAGGGATGTGAATAACCTTACTATCAGACAGAGACTATTGTAAACTCAATTGTGGTAGATATAATCAGACTAAAATGTGATACTTGTTCATGTTATCTCCCTTTGACTCATTTTGGATTTGCTCTAGTTTTCAATATTTCCTGCTTTTTTTTTCTAAACAGGGGTTTGTTTGTTTGTTCCTATGCTTTATTTTAATATTGTTGTTAGTCATTTCTTTATTTGTTTTAAAACATATATTCTGTGTTGGTTGTGTGTCTGTTTTGTCTGTTTTCCAGTATATGAAGCACAGGATAGGAAGATGTATAGAGATAATAACTGGTGTAATGGCTTATTGGGGATATGGGGCAGGGGAAGGTTTGAGGGAAATGGGGAGAAAATAATGAATACAGGAGGAGGGAGAATGTTCTGGAACTGATTGTGGTGATGTATATCCGGCCCGCCGGGTGTTTTTGCCCTGTTTTGTTTTTTTACTTCAAAATAAGACATGTGCAGTGTGCATAGGAATTTGTTCATAGTTTTTTAAAAAAAAACTATAGTCCAGCCCTCCAACAGGTCTGAGGGACAGTGAACTGGCCCCCTGTTTAACAAGTTTGAGGACCCCAATACTCATGGAAGCAGCAATCAAGAGATTACATGATGGGTTGCATTAGGTAAATCTGCTGCATAAGACCTCTCTAGAGTATTGAAAAGCAAGGATGTTACTAAGATCCCCTTACGCAAGCCATGACGTTTTCTTTCTTTCTTTTTAAACCATTTTATTGTGAGTTAATACATATATATTATTCCATCGTTCAACCACATCAAGCGGTACTGTACAATTGCTATGACAGTTTCAGAACATTATTTTCCTTCCTGAACTCCTTGACATCAGCTCCCTTTTATCCCCTCACCCCTTCAATCACCGTACCTGCCCCACCCCACCCCAAAGCACTTATTCTACTTGCTGTCCCTATAGGTCCATCAAATCCTGGTTTTCATACACTGAAAACAGAAAACATGTTTCAAAAATTCAAGAGAGTGGAAGCTGGCACCGCCGCTGTCTCCCTCACCACCATCATGATCCTCTACTGGGACCTCATCAGCCATGAGATGGTCTCCGACATCAGCAAGATCTGGGAGATCTCGGGTGGTCTCTGTCTGAAAGTGGAGGGGAAGATGGTCAATGGGACCATCCATGACCCGCTCGTGGGTGGCAATACCTCAGTTGGAGGCCCCGATGGTGATGGAACGGAAAGCACAGTGGTCACCGGGGTTGATATTGTCATGAACCCCCACTCGCAGGAAACCAGCTTCACCAAAGAAGCCTACAAGAAGGACATCAAAGACGACATGAACTCAGTCAAAGGCAAACTTGAAGAGCAGAAACCAGAAACAGTAAAGCCTTGTATGACAGGGGCTGCAGAACAAATCAAGTACATCCTTGAAAATTTCAAAAACGACCGGTTCTTTCTTGGTGAGAACATGAATCCAGATGGCATGGTTGCTCTGCTGGACTACCGTGAAGATGGTGTGACCCCATGTGTGACCTTCTTTAAGGACGACTGAGAGATGGAGACACGTTAACACAGTGGGCAGCTCATGGCCTCTCATCCTAACCGGCTGCTGTCCATCCAACGACACCAAGACTCACAGACAGAACTGGTGTCATCACGAGCTCTTCATTTACTTCTGACCTTGATTTATTTGGGCGGAGGCTTTTGTTTTTTAAGGAAAAAAAAACCATGTCGTGTAGGTTGTCTAAAACTAAAATGCATTTAAACTAAAAAAAAAAAAATTCAAGAGCGTGATCCCCCCTGGCATAGCACATTTGAGATAAATCGCAATACGAACAAACAAAAATACAGAAAATGTTGAAAACCAGGTCAGGCCTCATGGGCACCAGATCGACCGACAAGGTTTAACCGTTCAAGTCATCTTTATCATTTTGATACTATTCCCTTCTTTGACTTCGGATTATAGGATTTACAACCCTTTGTTTCTCTAGATCATTGATTCTCAACCTGTGGGTCACTACCCCTTTGGGGGGCGAATGACCCTTTCACAGGGGTTGCCTGATTCATAACAGTAGCAAAATTACAGTTATGAAGTAGCAACAAACTGTATTCTATGGCTGGGGGGATCACCGCACCATGAGGAACTGCATTAAAGGGTCGCGGCATGAGGAAGGTCGAGAACCACTGCCAATCCAGCCTGAGACGTTAGTCATCTTCTTTCCTGTTGTTGCTGGGTGCTGTGGAGCTGGTTCTGACTCACAGTGCCTTCGTGTGCAATAACGCACCGAGCCTTGCTCCATTCTCACAGTTGTTACGTCTGAGCCCACGATAACAGCCGCTGTGCCAATCCATCTCCTTGAGGGTTTTCCTATTTGTTGATGACCCTCTGCTTTACCAAACATGATGTCCTATTCTAAGGACTGGTCCTTTCTTTGCTTTCTTTCTTTTTTAAATCATTTTATTGGGGGCTCTTACAGCTCTTATAACAATCCATACATCAATTGTATCAATCATATTTGTACATATGTTGCCATCATCATTTTCTAAACCTTTACTTTCTTTTTAAAAAAATTATTAAATACTTTTATTGGGGTCTCTTACATCTCATCACAATCCATACATTCATCCATTGTGTCAAGCACATTTGTACATATGCTGCCATCACCATTTTCAAAGCATTTTCTTTCTATTTGAGCCCTTGATATCAGCTCCTCATTTCCCCCTCCTTCCCCGCCTGCCCTCCTTCATGAACCCTTGATAAGTTATAGATTATTATTTTCATATCTTACATCATGTTCTGTTGCCCTTCACCCATTTTTCCATTGTACATCCCCCTGGGAGGGGGTTATATGTTGATCCTTGTGATGGATTCTCCCTTTCTCCCCCTACCTTCCCCTAATCCTCCTGGTATCTCTATTCTCATTGTTGGCCCCGAGGAGTTTATCTATCCTGGATTCCCTGTGTTGTGGGCTCTTATCTGTAGCAGTGTGCATGTTCTGGTCTAATCCCATGTGTAAGATAGAATTGAGGTCATGATAGTGGGGGGTAGGGGGGGAGAAGGAAGCACCAAAGGAAGCACATTTTCTTTACATAAAACTCTCATACATGAGTTGCTGTGGATTTGTTTCTCCAAAGTACCCAGACTAATACATTATGGTACCTTGGGAGTGGGGTACTGGAGAA